TATTCCTTCCAATGTGTTCTTTATTAGTTCAATGTAATTCTTTATTTCTGACTGTTCTTTTCTCATAGTGACTATATCTTTTCTCATGCTGTTGAGCATCTTTACCATAATTACTCTGAACTCTATATCAGATAAATTTCTTATCTCTGCTTCATTTATCTCTTCTTCTGGAGAATTATCTTGTTCTTTATTTGTTTTGTTTGTTTGTTTGTTTGTTTGTTTGTTTGTTTTTTGTCTCCTCTGTTTGGCTTTGTGACTATGTATTAGTTAGATCTGCTACGCCTCTCAATCTCTAGTGTAAGACAGTGTCAAACACTGTTTCTGACTAATTAGATCAGGCAAAGACTCAAAGCCTCCAGAGACTGTCTCTGCTTGCAGACTGATTGGATTCAGTTTTAAGTAGCCCTTAGTCAATTGTCCACAGGTGTGGGGAGAGTTTTTCCAACAGGATGGGTCAATTGCTTCTGTCTGGAGGCTAATTGTTATTCCCAGTCTCTTAAAGGGCCTCAGAAATTCCACATGTGGGGCAAGGTGTTTTCCAATAGGGTGGGGCAACAGTCTTTCCCCCAGGCAAAACCACCTGCATAGCAAATGTCTGCATTAGAAAGATGACCTCTTCAGTGTGAGGGAATGACTTAGCACAGGTAACTGGGGTGGCTACTTTCTGAGCTCTAACCCCAGAGCCCTCTGCCCTGGCTTCTGTTCACACAGGTCCAGTCCACTCTGCCCTCCCTCTGCCAGAGCACAAGGTGAGTGGCTACTCATGAAATTTTTGTGTTGGCCTTTTAAGAGGGTGGCTGCATTTCCAGACATCTGTCCCTGGCAGACAGCAACCCAGCTGCTTTTCACAACCAGATGTTATGTGGGCACCTTTCTCAGTTCTAGTGCTCTCTGCTGGGGAGCCCAGCTTGGGGATTAGACCCCAGAGTTCTCAGTGGCAACCCCCCACAGCTGAGATATCTCTCCAGAACTTCAGCTGCTCTCTGTGGGAGCCGGACCAGCCCCCTTTGCTCCTCCCCATTCCTACCAGTCTCTACACAGTCTCCACTTTCCATTGTTGGTTATCAGGATTTTCTATAGCTAGTCTTCAGTTGATTATTCAGGATGTTTTATGTGTGTGTGTGTGTGTGTGTGTGTGTGTGTGTGTGTGTGTGGTATTTTAGTTGTAATTCCAGTTTGGTCCTTGGAGCATGTCTGTGTAACATCTACTTACTCTGCTGCCAATTTTAATCTCCTGGTTGCTCTCTTTTTAATTCTTCAAGTTGTAGGGTTAGGTAACTTATTAAAAGTTTTTCTTGGTTTTTTTGTTTGTTTGTTTGTTTTTTCTTTTTTTCTTTTTAGGTAGGCCTGAACTTCTCTCTCAGGATTGCTTTCACTGTGTCCCATAGATTCTGGATTATTGTGTTTTTATTGTCATTTGTTTGCAGGATGTTTTTTAAAATTTCTTCTTTGACCTCTTTGGTAACCAATTTATTGTTTAATAGCATGCTATTTAGTGTACATGTGTTTGATTATTTTTTAGTGTTTTTATTGTAGTTGATTTCTAATTTTATGCCATTGTGATCTGATAAGATGCTTAATATGATTTCAATCTTCTTGAATTTGTAGGTACTTAGCCTGTGGACCAACATTTTGTCTGTCTTTGAAAATGTCCCATGTGCACTTGAGAAGAATGTGTATTCTGTAGTTTTGGGGTAAAATGTTCTGAAGATGTCAACTAGTTCTATCTGATCTAGTGAGTCATTAAGGATTGCTGTTTCCTTGTTGATTTTTTGTCTAGATTTATCCAGTGATGTCAATGGGGTATTAAAGCCTCCTACTATGGTTGTAATGCTGTTAATATCTCCCTTGATATTTTCCAGAAGTTTATTTTTAATGTATTTGGATACTCCTGTATTGAGTACGTGTATGTTTACCAGACGTATATCCTCTTGTTGTATCGATCCCTTTAGTATTATGAAGTGGCTTTCCTTATCTCTTGTTATGGCCTTCACTTTGAGGTCTATTTTTTCAGATATAAGTATTTCTACCCCAGTTTCTTTTTCATTTCCATTTGCCTGAAAAAAATTTCCCATCCCTTTACTTTCAGTCTGTGTGAATCCTTTGTTCTGAGGTGGGTCTGTTGTAGACAGCATATTTATGGGTCATGTTTTCTTATCCACTCAGCTACCTATGTCTTTTGATTAGAGCATTTTATCCATTTCCATTTAAGGTTATTATTGATAGGTACTTGTTTGTTGCCATTTTTATTCTTATCCCTGTGTTTGTTGCCATTTTTATTCTTATCCCTGTGTTCCTCCCTCTCTTTCTATTTCTTCTTCTTACAATAGTTCCTTTAGGATTTCTTGAATTGTTGGTTTGGTGGTAATAAACTCCTTCAGCGTTTTTTGGTCTGTGAAGCTCCTTTCACCTTCAGTTTTGAATGATAGCCTTTCTGGATAGAGCAGTCTTGGATTCAGTCCCTTGCTTTTCATTACTCTGTATACTTCATGCCACTCCCTTCTGGCCTGATTTGTTTTTGTTGAGAAATCAGCTGTTAGTCTAATTGGAGATTCCTTGTAGATAACTTTCTGTATCTCTCAGAAGCCTTCAAGATTCTTTCTTTGTCTTTAACATTTACCATTTTAATTATGGTGTGTCTTGGTGTGGGTCTTTTTGGGTTCATCTTCATTGGGACTCTCTGTGCTTCTTGCACTTGTGTGACTTTTTTCTTCCCTAAGTCAGGGAAGTTTTCTGTCATTATTTCTTCAAGCAGGTTTCCTACTCCTTGCTCCTCTTTTTGTAGTTCTGGCACCCCTATTATGCAGATGTTGCTTCGTTTCATGTTGTCCCAAAGCTCCCTTAAACTCTCCTCCTGCTTTTTAATTTTTTTCCAATTGCTGCTCTGATTGGGTGTTTTTGCTACCCTATCTTCTAACTTGCTGTTTGGGTCTTCAGCTTCTAGTCTACTGTTGAAACCTTCCAGGGTGTTCTTTATTGCAGCTATGTCACTCTTTATTTCCTCTTGATTCTTATCAATGTTGGTGTTTTTCTTATTCAGCTTCTTATAATTCTCATGGAATTGCTTGTAATTCTGTCAGATGTTTGAGCATTCTTATAACCATTACTTTGAATTCTTTATCTGACAAATTACTTGCCTCCATTTTATTTAGTTCTTTTTCTGGTGATTCCTCTTTTTCTTTCTTTTGGGAACTGTTTTTTTGTTTGTTTGTTTTTGTTTTTGTCTCCCATTTTTGTTGTCCCTTAGTATTTGTTTCTATGTCTTAGATTAAACTGCTTTGCCACCCAGATTTTTTTGGGTTGGTCTTATGTAGTAAATGTTTTGTGTGACCCAGTGGTGCAGTCTTTCAGGTCTCCTGGGCTGGGTGTTCTAGGGTGACTCCCTGCTTGAAATATTTGGGTTCTCCTGATATAGTTGGATCTTGAATGTTATTGTCCCATTTGTGGATGGAGTCTCCTCACAGATTGTCTGACTATGTGGTTCACTCCTGACCTCGTCATGCAAGCTGTTGTGGATGTGTTTGGGGTCCTAGCTCCTGAGGCCATGGTCACCTGTGTGGTCCCACTGGAATGCAACTCATTGCAAGGTCCTGGAGCCCATGGCATGGGTCCCTTGCAAGGATCCCCTCTGTGAGGGTTTGGGGTGGTGTCTAAGGCCAGTCTGGGTGGTGGTGAGGCTACACTCCTATCCACCATGGCTCCCCACTTCAAGATAGCATGGTTTCTCCCATTTTCAATATTTCTGTGGCAAAAGTAGGTTTACAGATGGGAATTTTCAAAACAAAATTTATTGTTGTATTGTTATTTATTAATTATTGTACTATTTTCCATATGAACAACTGTAAACCTACTCTTCCCTACCCTGTAGCAGTAATGCTTACATAAATCAAGTAAATGTGTTCCAAAGACACATCTAATTTAACAAAATCTTATTAGTAATGATAAACCCAACTGTTTTGTGTGTGTGTGTGTGTGTGTGTGTGTGTGTGTGTGTGTGTGTTTTGCGGAGTTTACTATGTCCTAAAGTTTCTCTAGGTATCAGGGCTTTTAATCATGTGGTGGAATTATTGAGATTTCCATTTTACAGATGTGGAAACTGAAATATAAATAGGTTAAGCTATTTTTTTCAAGGTCCCACAGCTGGTTAACAACCTTAGAATTTCTGGG